GATCGGAGCAGAGTAAATCACCCCAGTCAGACTCAGCCACCATGAAACAGCAAATGACATCTGGGGTCATTAATTAATGAGGGATGCTGGGCTGGGAGGGGGCCTGGAGCAAACCCTCAGTGTTCCAGAGCCAGGACTCATGGTTCCCTCTGAACCGGTCCCTGTGGGATGAGCTGGTCCTGCAGGATGGAGATGGTGGGATTTACAGCACTGCTGGGCACTGGGGCAGCTCTGCCAGAGCAACACCTTCCAGCACCTGATGCCTGCCCAGGCCCAGGTACCAGGTGCTTTCATCCCCACTTGAGGAGGACCCACACTGCTGGATACTCTGTGGGATGAGCATCCCACGGTGTGAGGTGCCAGCTGCCCACCCAGAGGTATCTCACTGACACCAGGGACAACTTCACGGCAGGAGGGATGCTGAGGGCAGTGCTGAGCTCTCCCAGCCGCCCCTCAGATGATTTTAAAGGAGTTCTTTTGTCCAGGCTGCAGCAACTCCTCGGTCCAGGAGCGCAGCCAGCACTGATGGAGAACTGGTTGGATAACTCCGTGTGATCAGAGAGCGGCTGAACAGAGCCCAGCCAGGCTTCCCTGAGCACCTGGGGAAGCTGGGTGCAAGCAGCAGTTTAATTAAACCACAGCAATCACATCAAAGCCGGTCCCTGCACAGAAACCCTTCTTCACTTGCAGGAATTAATTAACGAGCTGGAGTTAAACCCGTTCCCTGCGAGGCCTCCCGGAGCTGGTGGCTGTGCTGGTTGTCCCTCGGCAGGTACAGCCCTCCTGCCCAGGGGTGCAGGGGGTTGGCACCAGGTGAAAGCAGAGCTGGGGAGGTTCAGGTGATGTGGGGTAACTCATTTGGGCACTCAAATGCCACTCCAAAGCCGGGCTGAGCCCTGGGCTGCAGAAGGTGAGCTCCCAGCAAGTATAAACAGGAGCAGAGCTCCTCAAGCACCCACGGCTGCTTTATGTGCCTGGGAGGGCTGGTTAGGAGAAACGGATCCCTGGCTTTGGGAAGTGGATCCCTGGCTTTGGGAAGTAGGTCTTTACTCGGATTGCAGCAGAAGGCTCTTGAAAAGGGGAGAATGAGCTTCATGGCAGGAACGTGGTGCGGGTAAGTGAGGGCTGCAGCCTCCCCAGTGCCTTTATCCTATTCCTATCTTTGCTCTGCCCCAGCTGAGAATTCCCACTTGGGCTCCACAGCAACTTTTCCTGGTCAAGCTTCATCTTCAGGCCTTCAGCAGAGGAAAGAGGAACAGTCCTTGAGGCACCACGTGCAGAAGAAGGTGGTTCCCACTCTTTAGTGCCCCATCCCCATGGCACATGCCCAGGTGCTGTAAAGTGCCATCCCTTCACCCTGCTGGGAAAATCAAGCCAGGATGGGGCATCTTCCCTGGGTGGCACTGAGGGATCATGGAATCCCAGAATGGTTTGGAAGGGACCTTAAAGCTCATCCAGTGCCACCCCCTGCCACGGGCAGGGACACCTTCCACCAGCCCAGGTTGCTCCAAGCCCCGTCCAACCTGGCCTTGGACACTTCCAAGGATGGGGCAGCCACAGCTTTTCCAGGCTCTGAGGAACCCCAGGGAATGGCTGTGAGCTCCCTCAGCCTGAAGCTGGAGCTGCTCTCCTGAAGTTCATTGCAGGGAATGTTTTCCCTGTGGCTCAGTAAATCCCTGCTTTGCTGTGCCAGAGCAGTTCTGGTTTCAAGCAAAGGCTTTGGGTTTGCCCTGGCTCTGCTGACGTCAGTGCTGAATTCCCCCAGTGCTGCTGCCATCCAGAGCCTCCTCTAAGCCCTTCCCAAGAGCTGCTTTCATGCTGGAGCTTTTTGGTCACCGGGAATAAGGATCCTCACAAGCCCCGGGTGTTTTTACTACCAACAAACTCAGGGACTAGGAGAGCGAGTAAAATGCGTGGGAAGGCCAGAAATGTGCCTCCTTTTTTGTGCTGCTTTAAAGGATCCCTCAAGAAATAAAAGCTGTTCCACTGAAACTTCCTAATGATTCCATTTCGAGAGGGAAGTACTTAATATCTCAGATTTTATTTTAGGAAAAGCAATTGCTCAGCCCAACATGAGAGAGGAACAAATTTATCTGGCAGGAAAGCAATTGTTTCTCTCTGGAAAGCGTTTTCCTTCAATTCTCTCAATCACTTGACTCCTTGAAAGCAGACAGGGAAATGACTGAAGAGTATTCCCCTGCTATTTCCAGATGAGCTGCTCTTTATTGGATCTGTAATTAGATAAAATCCCATGCTTTTGGAGCAAACTGCAGCAGGTTTCCCACAGCAGCAGCACACGGATCAAGTGGGGTGATTGCAGCCTTTCCCTGATGCTCTGGCACCTTCTGTCATTGCAAATTCAGGTTAAGTGATGTTTTGAGGCTGTGTGGGAAGAGCTGAGCATCTTCCCTGCAGGTCTGGGTCACCTGAAGGGCTGAGAATAAGACCAGCATGGTCCCAGGGCTGGCTGATGTCCTGTATCCATCCCTGTGGCTGTCCTTCCCGTGCCTCTGTTCCTCTGAGCCTGGGCACAAAAGCACCTTTGTAGGTTATTTAAAGCCTCTCATCAGGTCTTTCCCCCGCTGCTCCAGCTGCTCATCCTTGCTCAGTGCTGGCAGAGGTGACTGGAAAATGCCTTGTGGGGTTTTCCTTGCACGGGAAACGTGTCCTGTGCTGGAACATCCTTGAGCTGGGAGCAAGGACAGCTGACCTCAGGGCTGGCACTGGCCACTGCAAGGCACCAGCCCTCAGCTCTCTGATGGCTTTGGGTAAGTTGGTTCTGCCTGTTTTCCCTTGGTTTGCCTTCCCACGGGGTTGTGGTGCCATTCCCTTGGCAGGGCAGGGTCGTTTCCCACTGGGACCTGTGCCTGGGGGTGTCTCCCCTTCCCAGCTGTGTCCTGCTCTGGATGTCCCACGGGAGAGGAGTCAGCCCTGCCCAGAGCACCCAACACCCCTCAGGGCTCCTGACAACGTGGCCCTGGGGCAGAGAGGGGCTGGAAAGCCCCACGGCCCCACATCCTGGGACCACCTTCCCTGCTGACGTGGCCCCTTCCCTTGGACGGGCTGTCCTTGGGGGAGCGGGGCTTGGCAGGGCCCGTGGGATGCCCGGCAAGGGGATTTATGTCCGGTGGCTCCCTGCCAGGCTCTCTCACGTCGCTGTGGCTCCCGGGCTGGGCCGCTGCCTCCTGACCTCTGCACCCCCCTGCAACCTGTGCCGGGGCACGAGGCTGCCCCGCTGACGCAGGGCCGGGGGGCCGGCGTGGGAAAAGACGTCAGGGCTGGGGGAGCGGGGTGGGACCCGCGGGGCTGAGCCCTCGGTGTCTGCCAGGGTCAGCCATCCCCTGGCAGCCAGAATCCCACAGGGGAGGGAGGTGTTTAAGCCCCGGGCTGGGGGGAAGATGTTTGTTGCTCGTGGGGTGTTGTCCTCAGCCCCGCTCCAGCGCAGGGACGGTGGTGCCCTAAACAAATCCCATCCTCCACAGGAGGGGGATTGTGCAGCTGGGGGTCTTGGGGAAGGGGCAAGGCTGTGGTCAGGTTCCTTCCAAGAATGTTTTTTATTGCCTTTGCGGTCATTTCCCACCAACATTCCTCGAGGCCAAGCCCTGGGCTGGGAGCCATGGGGCTGATCCAGCCCCCACTGCCCTGGACTGGGCACTGCCAGGGGGGAGACACAACCTGGGAGCCAGGGATGAACCTGGTATGAGGGAGTCCCCACACTGAGGGTTTTAGAGCAGCATCTCCCTTCCAAGACACAGGGCAGGGCTGGGCTTGCCCCTTGATTTAATACCCCATGTAACAACTGCAATGAGTTCTGCTGTTCTCTGCCCCAGGCTCTGCTCTCTCGCTGGGAGGGTTCCCCTCGTTGTGCTGGGAGGGCACAGAGGGCTGTGGATCTGCAGTTGGTGTCTCCATGGCCTGGAGGGCTGTGACTGAGTGTCCTTTGAGTGTCCTTTGCCATTTCTGCCCCTCAGGCCTTTGGGGAAAACCCCATTATTCCTCTGTACAGTGGGACATCTCCCTGGCCAGACTGTCCCAGCTGGCACCAGCGGGTACCTGTGCCCTGGCAGTGATGGCTGGGTGCTGACAGGGAGCAATCAACCACAAGGAATGTGGGTTCAGGGCTCCCAGCTCTGTACAGCACCCCCTGCCAGCTCTTCCCACCAGGCACGGGTGTTGCTCCTGGATGTGCCACCCTCGGCAGGGAGTGTCACAGCCAGCATCCAGCCACCTGCCCGTGGGATTCCCAGCCCTCCCCCAGCCAGGGGAGGAGGAACCCGCAGGGATGCAGAATCCCGGGCTATAAAAGCATCGTCCCCTCTGGGATGGGAAGGAGCTGCTGGCACGGCAGGAGGCTGCTCTGGAGGACAGGATGGCAGTGGGACACAGCAGAAGGGTGCAGCAGTACCTGCTGGTCTTGGCCCTGACCTGGGGTGCCAGCTTTGCCCCCTCGCCAGCCCAGGCTCTGCAGAGGTAGCAGGAGCGTGTGTGGCACACACGGTGCTGGGTCCTGCTGTGTCCCCTCTTTTCTGGGGGCTGGGGCTGAGGGTGAGGGGCTCTCCTGCTTCAGCCACACTGGAAACTCCTTCCTCCTCCTCCTCTGCTGCTCTGCACCTGCTCTTCCTCGCTCCTCTCCCTCTCTCCCCTCGAGCACCGCGTGGTTAATGGCTGGACTCGATGATCCCGGAGGTATCTTCCAACCTAAATAATTCTACGGCTCGGGAGCCTCCCCATCCCAAATAACCAGGGATGCCAGGGGCCGGTGGGTTCCTCCTGCAGCCCCCACCCTCCGTGGGGTCCCTGCCCTGGGTGGGCTGGGGCGCATCGGCCCCGTGCGGGCGCGGTGGGAGCGGAGCCCACCGGGGTGCTGCGGGGAGCTGCTGCCATCTAGAGCCACCCGTCTGGAGCTCCCGAGGCGGGAATGCCGGGATGGGGGTGGCAGGGAGCTGGGGAGGGGGGATGTGTGCTCCTTGAGCCCTCCAGCCCCGTCGTGGCCCCGCAGGATCGCGCTGCGGAGGATGCCCTCCATCCGCCAGACGCTGCAGGAGATGGGGGTGAAGGTGTGGGAGGTGTTCCCGGAGCTGCGCCAGGGCAGACGCGGCGCCGGGGCCGGTCCCAGGAACGGGACGGCTCCCACCCTCCTCACCAACTACCTGGACGTGAGTGTCTCCCTGCATGGGGGTTTGTCACCCCAGTGTCACCTCACGGATCCCCCCCCCCAGGGCTCGGGTCTGCCCGAGCTGTGCCCCCGGTGGTGCCCCCCATGCTGTGCCTCTTCCAGACCCAGTATTTCGGCGAGATCAGCATCGGGACCCCGGCACAGACCTTCAAGGTGGTCTTTGACACGGGCTCAGCCAACCTGTGGGTGCCGTCCTACAAGTGCTCCCCCCTCTACAGCGCCTGTGGTGAGTAGGGGGGCACAGCCAGGGTCGGGACTGACCCCCCCAACAACCCCCAGGCTCAGTGATGGTGGGCAAGTCCCTCCACCTCGGGGGCTGCTCAGGGTGGGCTGCAGTGGGGTCTGGGTTTCTGACAGACCTTTTCACTGGTGGGGGTTCTCTCTGTTGCTGCCCAGTCCCCTGGCACTGGGGCAGGGTGGGTTCATCACCACACGGGGGACATTCTGGGGGAGCAGAGACCCTCAGCCCCCTCTCTCTCACTTTCCTTGATGCACATTGTCCCCCTGCCCAGTCTCCCACAGCCGCTACGACTCCTCCAAGTCCCGGACCTACATCTCCAACGGCACCGGCTTCGCCATCCGCTACGGCACCGGCAGCGTCAAGGGCTTCCTGAGCCAGGACATCGTCATGGTGAGCGCGGCCTGGCACTCACACTGCGACCTGCTGGCTCAGCAAGGGGCTGCTCACACCTTGGGGAGGTTCTTTGGGGGGGGTTTCACACCCCCCCTTCAGCTTGCTGCAAGGACCCTCGTGCCCTTCCCCAGGTGTCAGACATTCCCATCATCCAGGTGTTCGCCGAGGCCACGGCGCTCCCCGCCTTCCCCTTCATCTTCGCCAGGTTTGACGGGGTGCTGGGGATGGGCTTCCCCAGCCAGGCCATCGACGGCATCACCCCCGTCTTCGACAGGATCCTGGCCCAGCAGATCCTCAAGGAGGACGTGTTTTCCGTCTACTACAGCCGGTGGGTCCCGCGGGGAGCAGGCGCCGGGGATGGGGGTGGGGGGGGGTTGGTTTTTAGGGCACGGGTGGCAGAACCACGTTGGCATCTTGGGATTGGGAAGGAGCCATGGCTGGGGCTGAGGGATGTTGGGTAGGAGGGATGAGCCCATGGAGGATGCCTAGAGGAGCTGGGGTGGAACAAGGCAGCACAGGAGGCAGAGCAGGGTGGAGGTTTGTCTGGAGCTGCTGGGCAGGGAGTACTGAGGGGGAGCAGAGTCACCAGCTCCGTGAGTGAGGCTGGAGCAATCTCAGCCAGGAGGGGATTTAGTTAATCTGGTGATTTTGGTTAATTTTTGGCAGAATTAAAAACAAACAAACAAACAAAAACCAAACCAAAAGACTCTATTGAAGAAAAACCTACACCAGCAGCCAAACCTCCTTTCATTTCTTGCCCCAAACTGTTATGCTCCAACAACCCTCCCCCCAGCATCCCCAAAACCAGCTGGAGCAGTGGGAAGGCCCACCCTGGCAGGGCAGGAATGCTGCCCTAGGCCCCAGACACAACAGCCTGGCATTGTGCAGTGACAGACTCTCAAACACACCCCGAAATCAGCCAGGGTGCCTCTTGACCTCAGCTAAAGGTTGCATCAAGAACAAACAAATCCTAAGGAAGAGACTGAGGTTGCCACTGGCATCTGGGTGCCACTTGGGTGCCCTGGGGACACAGCTGTCCCCTATCCACAGCCTCATGGGGCATCTCTCTCTTTGCAGAGCCTCCAAGTAAGAAGACACAGAGCACGAGCGCTCTCGATGGCACCCACTAACAGCTCCTGTGTGCCTGGGGTGGGCACAGCCCCTGCAGCCCCTGCCAGCCCCAGGCCAGCCCTGGTCCAGCTCACACACTGCAGATGCCTCGCTGGGTTCTGTCCATGTTCCTGCTCCCCTGGGGAGCCAGCACAGACCTGCTGGGAGACCCTTGCATGCAGCCCCCCCTCCTGCCCCTCTGCACTAACTCGGGGTTTCTCTGCTCCAGCTTGCTCTCCACCGCTTCTGACCGGCTCAGCAGAGCCCCGTGGCCATGGCTGGTCCCTCCTCGCTGGTTTCTCGGGGACAGCAGCCAAGGGGGAATCGCTCCACTGTGGTTTGTGCCCTAGGAATGCTCCTCTGAAACCCGGGGGGGAGATAATCCTGGGAGGCAGCGACCCAGCCTATTACACCGGGGACTTCCACTACCTGAACGTCAGCAGGAGCGGCTACTGGCAGATCAGCATGAAGGGGTGAGGGCAGGGGGATCCATGGAATCATGGAATCACTTAGGCTGGAAAGACCTCTAGGATCCTGGGGTCCAGCCATTAGCCCAGCACTGCCAAGGGTGCATCCCACGGACGTCCGTGGCTGTGGGAGGGGGCGGTGTCAGGCTGGGAGCCAGGGAAGGTGGTCCATGGAGCCAAGCTTTCACTTGGCACTGCCGGGAGATGCTTCTTCCCCGCTGGGGAGGAGAGGGGTTGGCTCCTCCAGCTTCTCTCACACACTCAGCAAGGAGCCAGGAGAGCTGGGAATGCAGAGGTGGTGGCACCGTGGGCTGATCCAACTTGGAAGGTGCCGAGGAAGAGTTTAACCCCCTTTAGTCCTGCAGGAGGAGCGTGAGGCGCTGAAACAACTCTGCTTTGTTTGACCGAAAATAAACAAACCCCTCACATGACGAAGCTTTGCTTTCCCACCGGGAAAGCTGCAGGGGAGGGTTCCTGGGGTTGCTGCACAGCCCGTGGGAGCGGCACATGCTCTGCCTGGCCACAGCTCCCTGGAGAAGATGTCACACCCCTGTGAGTGCACCTGTGGCATCACCGTGGGATATTCAGGGTCTGCCCTCCCGCTCCAGGGTGTCTGTAGGGGCTGAAATCCTGTTCTGCAAGGAAGGCTGCTCGGTGGCCGTGGACACAGGGGCCTCCTACATCACCGGCCCCGCCGGGCCCGTGTCCGTGCTCATGAAAGCCATCGGGGCAGCCGAAATGGCCGAGGGAGAGGTGAGTCCCCCCCACACCTGTACCCCGATCCCTCCCTGCCCCAGGGAATGGGCTCAGGGCCATCTCCCCCTCCCACAGTACGTGGTGGACTGTGACCAGGTGCCTCAGCTGCCCAACATCTCCTTCCACCTGGGCGGGAAGGTCTACGCGCTCAGTGGCTCAGCCTACGTCCTGCGGGTAAGCTGCACCCTCCCGCGGTGTCCTGCACCCTCCTGGCTCCCCTAGAGCAGCCAAAAGCAGCCCCAGAGTGATGCTCCTTGTTTTCCCCAAACCCTCCTGTTGGGCAGAGGTGTCCACGTGAGCCAGACCGACCTGTTGCTGCTCCCTTGGGCGGTTCTGGGGAGATTTGGGGTGAGCAGCAAAGAGCAGAGACAGGCAGGGATCCTCCCTGGAGGTTGGGCATTAGGAATAGGGTCTTCCCCCAGTGGGTGGTCAGGCACTGGAAGGGGCTCCCCAGGGCATGGCACCAAGAGTTCATGGAGTGTTTGGACAATGTTTCCAGGCCCATGGAGTGACTCCCGGGGATGGTCCCGTGCAGGGCTAAGAGTTGGACTCGATGATCCCTGGAGGTCTCTTCCAACTCAGCATATTCTGTGATTCTGTGATTTTTTTGGGCTTGTCCTGTGCAGGCCCAGGAGTTTGACTTAGATGATCCAGAGCATCCTGAGCTGGAAGGGATATTCCAGCTCAGGATCTTCTGTGATTCCATGAGGAAGGAACACTGTGTCCAAGCAGCAGGTGTGGAGCTGGGGGGTCCATCCCTCACTCGGGATCTCCCTCCTGCCACCTCCACCACCACTGGGGTCTCCTTTTTGCAGCAATCCCAGTACGGGGAGGACATCTGTGTGGTGGCTTTCTCAGGGCTGGACATCCCACCCCCAGCTGGCCCCCTCTGGATCCTGGGTGCCAGCTTCATCGGGCACTACTACACCAAATTCGACCGGCGCAACAACCGCATCGGCTTTGCCACGGCCCGCTGACCCCGGGGGGCCGGGAGAGGGTGGGGGGAACCAGCCTGCAGGGCAGGAGAACCACCAGGAGGCAGCGACTTGAAGTGCAAAAGGGAACAGCAGCTCCCTTCCAGCTCAGCCACCTCCTCTCCCTTCGCTCAAGCAACTGCAAGCCTCGCCTTCTCCCACTCCCAAACCCCCGCGCTGCTTCCCGGGAGCCTCTGCTGCCAGGGGAGGGCTGAGCCTGGCACGCATCTCCCGGGGAGTGTTCAGCCTGGGAGCCCAAGCGGGATCCTGCGTCCGGAGCTGCTCCTCCAGGGACTGTTAGGGTGATGTGCAGTAGTACAGCCAGCACACAGGGAACTGCCGCTGGCGTGGAGGGGCTCGCAGGCTGAGCAGGGACCACCTGCTACAGTCCGTGTGATTCTTTAATTGGAAGGAAAATAATCTGTGTTTTAATGATAGTTTTAGCTGGTGTTAAAACTCCTACCCCTCCCCGTGACTTTGGTATTAAACAACTTCGAGCAAGAGGACGCTGAGGGGAGGTCTGTTCTTGCAGAGGGGAGAGGTCAGGCACCTCTATGAAGGGAACTGGACAGCAAATGTTCCCCTGCCAGGACCCACCGCTGCATTTTTGTCCTTCCATTTCCTAGGAGTGCAACACCCTCCCAGCCACTGCCACAGCAGCCACCTGTAGGCAAATCAGGGTTTTTTTCCAACAGCAAACAAGCTCTTTCTGCAGGAGATGAGATGCTGTGTGGGCTTCTCAAGCCTCAACCTGCCTTCCCAGGGGGAAATCAGGACCACTGGTTGCACCCCTAGGGACAGGGACAGGGCTGGACATGGCTCTTTGGTCTATGTCCCACCAGGAAGGTGGCTCTGGCTCCGTGACTCTCTCTGTTTTCATGGCCATGCTGGTTCCAGCCAACAACCAAAGGTTTGTCTCTGCCCTGGCTGTGTGCAGAGATCCCCCTGGAGCTGCCAGCCCAGTGCCAGCTGGCCTGGAAGGAGGGACAGACCAGTGCTCCCAGCTGCAGGCTGACATTTCCAGTTCTGTGGGGAAGCTGTGGCACTTTCAGTTCCAGCCCAGCAGCTGCAAATCCAAGTGCTGCCCAGAGCCAAGGGCTGTGCAGTGCTCTCAGCCCCAGTTGGACCAGTTCAGGTGCTGTGAGGGCCGTGTCCCCAGCTGAGTACCAGGAAAGGTGCCTGGAAAGGGGAGCTTGGGCTCCTGAGCAGGGCCTGGATGGAGTCAGTGTCTCACCAGGGGAGTGCAGCCCCTCACAGAAGCTTCTCACCCTCATTTCTGCAGCCAGTGGTGACTGCTGATGAGTTCCCAGTGCTGATGAAGTCCCAGAGCTGCCTCTCAGCTTGCAGGGATATCTGGGAGAGGGACGGCACCACCAAAGCGGTGGTTGCTGTGTGACCTTTCCAGCCAGGTATGCAGCAGCCTCTGCTCCGTTCCCAGCCCTACATCCCTTCCTCCATGGATCCTCATTCCCTGCCCTGCCCCATGGCAGCCTCGGAGCAGAGAGGATGTGGCTGAGCGGATGTTTGTCCCTCCTGGGAGGGTCTCTGCAGCCATGCAGCATTTAAACCTCTTAATGCTGGGATGTGCAACCCTGGGTCTCCAGAGATGGGAAATTCAACCCACCCAAAAGTGTTGATGTGTTTCTTTCCATCTCCTTTGCAGCACTGCTCCATCATGGGGGCGATGGGAGCGGTGGCAACTCCTCCTGGAGTGCAGGGAAGGGGCCCCAGCAGCCACAGTATCTCCCTTTCATCCAGCATTTCCTGAGCTCCAGGCAGCTGCTCATCAGCACAGGAAGCCCCAGGAGCTGGGAGTGGTGGCAGCCCAGGCAGGGCGGGGTGGGAGGGAGGGCAGAGCTGCCTGGAGACCCTCGGCAAGGGGGGATCTGCTCAGATCAGCCTGGCATCTCCACAACCTCCTGGATGTACAGAGATGGTGGAAAGAGTCTCACTTTCCTTCCTACCACAGGGAAGCTCCACTTGGAAATAACTAAGCCTCCTTTCCCGTCTTCTACACCACAAAGGCTCTAGTCTGGAGAAGACTGGAGTGGATGCGAGCTTGTAAATGCACCGGGTGATTTCAGCCCCCACCCTGGCTTCTGCCATAGCCCTCAGCTGGAAAACACTCAGCCTGGCCTAAAATAGGATGTTTTTGTGGATCCAGTTCTATTCCTATTCAGCACGGTTGTTTTGAGCAGCAGGAGGAAAAACGCCGGGGCTGCTTGTGGTGCTGCTCCGCGGCCCCTTAAGCCAGGCTATTAACACCTCTAATCGCCTGCTCCAGGGGCAATTTCCCGGTGGATGCGGCAGCCCTGGCTGCGAGGCACCACTAACCCGCCATGGCCCGGATTAGATCGTTCCGGGCGAGCAATTAGGCCACGCTCAGCCCAGCAAAGCGCGGGAGCAATTATGCCCATCCTATTAACACTGACAGAGCTCGTTCTATATTTAGAAACACGGGACCCGGCTGGTGGATTTTTTTCCCCCCTTCCTTAAATGATTTTCCCCAGGTCTCCACGGTCCATTTAGCCGATCTCAGCCGCAGCCAGCTGTAAACTTTGGAGGGGGCATTCTCTGCTCCCAGCCCTGTGCCGTTGTTATTTCCTCTGATAATGAAGCCGGGCTGGAGCCGTGTCCAGGGGCTGCGGGGGCTCTGCCACTGGGCGAGTTCTGCTTTCTCTTTACCCCCCAAACCTCTCCCCAGCCCAGCTGTAAATCCCTGTGAGAGGTCAGCACTTGGTGGGCATGATGGTAGCAGGGCTGGAGAGGTTATCCCGAGGGGATACATCCCGCCTGGAGCCCTGGATGCTGCCAGCTCATCTCGCGCGTGGCATCCTCATCTTTTTATTCCCAAAGGGATGGAGCGGGGTGCTGTGCGGAGCCTCCCGAGATGGCTGCGGGGCTCGGGGGATGGACAGGGAGGCACTGAGGTGGAGATCACCGGGTGCGGGGCGGGGCAGTCCCGGTCCCTTGGGATGACTTAGGGGTTCCGGGAATGGATGGGGGAGACATGCGGGATGATTGCAGCAGGGTCTCAGGATGCGGGTGAGGGCCCCTTGGGATGGCTGAGGGGCTCCGGGGATGGTTGTGGAGGGCACCGGCAGCAGGTGCGGTGGTCCCGGTCCCGGTGGGGTGTGGATCGGCTGCCCGGTGTGCCAGTGCGGATCGGGATGGGTGCGCTGCCCGGAGTCCCCGTGCCGGCGGGATGCGGATGCGCTGCCGGGGATCCCCGTGCGGGCGGGATGCGGGTCCGCCGCCCGGGGTCCCGGTGCGGTGGGATGCGGGTCCGCCGCCGGGTGCCGGTGCGGGTGGGATGCGGATCCGCTGCCGGGGTCCCGGTGCGGTGGGATGCGGGTCCGCCGCCCGGGGTCCCGGTGCGGTGGGATGCGGATCCGCCGCCGGGTGCCGGTGCGGGTGGGATGCGGATCCGCCGGCGGGTGCCGGTGCGGTGGGATGCGGGTCCGCCGCCGGGTGCCGGTGCGGGCGGGCGCTGCCGCTGGCGGGGAGGCGGGCGGGAGGCGGGCCGGTGACTCATGGCTTCCCAACGGCGGGCGGCTCCTCCCCGCGCAGCCCCCGGCACATGGGCCGCGGCTCCGGCAGCGCGGAGCTGGCCATGGCCGCACCGCCCGCCCGCTGCCCCGACTGCCCGGGGCCGGGGCCGGAGCGGGGGGGCGGCGGAGGGACCCCCGCCGTGCCCCACCTCGGCATTGCGGTGGACGAGCGTGACGTGCTGCCCGGGGCGCTGCGGATCGTGCGGGAGATGAGACCCGGCTGGGAGCCGGCCAGGGTGAAGACCAAGGTACGGGGGGGACCCAGAGCAGAGACCCCGCACCCTGAGAACCGGCCACAGCACCCCCCGCGGGGGTCGCTCGGGGGGCTGCAGAGCCCGGCCAGGGTGGCGGGTATGGGGTTATAGGGTCCCCCGAGATTGTAGGGATTCACCTGGGGGCGGCTCTGGCGCTCACCCTGCGGGGCTGCAGGGTCTGCCCTGGGGTGTCTGTGGGGTTCACCCCTGAGGGGTTACAGGGTCTACCCGAGGAGGTCTGCAGGGTTCACCCAAGGGGGACTGTGGGGCTCACTTGGGGGGCTGTAAGGTCCACAGGAGGGTGACTGTAGAACCCACCATGGGGGGCTCTAGGACCTGCCAAGGAGGGTGTGACACACTGTCCCCCCACCTCTGGTTCCCTCCTCCTCTCTTTGAGCACAAGTGGGACCCATCAGATGTGCAAAGGGGTGACACCCCTGTCACACACATCCCCACAAGGTTTGGGGATCCCTCAGGTGGTCACTGAGCGGTGACTGTGAGAGCAAGTGTGTCCCCAGGGTCCCTGAGGGCTGCCAAGGTGCAGGCTGGAGGCTGGAGGGTGCCCACAGGAGCAGCCACTCCTGGGAGCTGCTCTCGCTCGGGTCACTTGTTGGCTCTCACCTTCCCCGGGTTGCGTGGGCTGAGCTGCAGTTCAGGTGGGAGCTGGAGTTCAGCTCTGAATCCCTTGCACGGGACAGGGCTTGGCTGTGTGGAGCTGGCAGGGCTTTGCTGGGAGAGCAGGGCTGGCACCTACCTGGCACGGGAATCCCTTTCCCCCTCCTCACCTCTGCCCAGGGGTACCAGGTCTGTGAGACAGGCTGGTGGTGTCTGTGCCCTCAGCAGTCTCCTGGTGACGGGCACTGGAGTGTGGAGGTGCTGGAACTGGGTGCACTTGAACGTCTGCACGTGTGTGTGTGTGTGTCCTCCGAAGGCACATGCTTCCCGTGTGCCTGGAGTGCCATTAAAAATGTATTAATAGCCAAGTGTAATTAAATACAAGAAGCTGCAGGAAAATCCATCTGAAAGGGCAGATGGCAATAGGCAGGAAGCTGGGAGCTGGAGTTGTAGGGGCAGGAAATGTCTCGCTCCGTGCAGCGCCAAGCACAGACCTCGGTGGGTGTTGAAGGACCCCGGTATCCAGGCTCTGCAGGCGTTGGAGGGGTCAGTGTTCAGCAACAGCTTGTGTGTGTGTTTTTAATTAAAAAAAAAAAAAAAAGGAAAAAAAACCAGTTAGGAGTTGAGAGAAAACCCTCCTGTTGCGTTTCTCTCAGCTGCTGTTGCAGGAGCCGTTCGGGAGGGGCCTGGAGCAGTGCAGGGTCCTCAGCTGGTTCCCATTAGCATTCCCGGTCCCTTTCCTGGTGCCCTGGAGTGGTGCCCGGTTCACACCACCTTGTTGCCCGGTGTTGGGACACAGTTGCCTGCAGGGGCTGTACCAGACTGTGCCAGTGGCACGGGAAGATCTCCCGGAGCTCAGGGCAGGGTGTGGAACACCAGCAGAAGGATCTGGGTGCTCGGCCTCCCCTGCCTGCCCTCTCCTTGCCCCCTGTGCTCCAGGTTTGCCCACTTCCCAGGGCTCCTGCTGCTCATCCTTTAGGCACCTCCGTGCCAGTGAGTCAGCCCTCCATGCTCTCTGGGAAGCACACACTCCTCCATCCCTCATCCTGAGATAAGAGCAGCAGCGACTGGAGCCAAACCCCTGCAAGGACTCGGGCATGGCTGGGCTCTTTTAGCCTGATTTTGGCAAAAAGTTGCCCTGCTGCAGCCTGGCCCCAGGCTGGGGGTGCTGGGCCAGCCAGCACGGTGCTGCTTTGGGAATGCTGAGGGGTGTCCAGCAGGTGCAGCACCAGGTGTTGGATTTTGCTGCTTCCCTTCAGCACCGCGCAGGGCTCGGGTCTCACTTCGCATTTAAGTGCTGCAGAGCTCCTGGTGTGGAGTCACACACTGTCACACGCCTTCTCCTCCATCCCTGCTGTCACACAGCTGCAGCAGGCGAGGGTTTGGGCTGGTAGCAGGGTGGCTGCAGTCTGGATCCACGGGGAATAGCACCAGGCACCTCCC